CATGAAGTAAAGTGTTCCCCCAAATTTTTTTTTCTTCGTAAAATTATAAATTCCCTTCCCTGAACATGTCTATGTAAAAATAAATACCAAATTCCACTACTTTGGCTGTGGGAACGTGGACAAGGTGTGCTGTGATGTCATCAGGGGCTGGTCGCCCGTGCATGACACGCCCAGACACGTTTGCGCGGGATATTCAAGCACCGGGTGTTACCACAAATATATTTTCAATTATCTGTGCAATGTATTTCCAATGCGGTTTTATTTTTTTTATAGTATATGATGCATATTTGTGTCCTTTACAATATGTATACAGTAAAACGTTCCTAATGTTCCATGGAACTGTGATACATATGTCAGTAATGTGTCCACAATAAATGTTTATTGTCGCAATATTACTTGTTAAAAATTCACTAAAATGACAATATGTACAGTTTCACACACTACACAGTAACACACTGTATTACACACTCAGTATTTCGGAAGTTAGTAATAATTAACGAAGTAGTCCATGGTGCACAGCGTGACTTCGCTCTTGTTGCACCAGGTACAGATAGATTTTCGCTTCCTGTTTCTTTGTTCTGTGTGCTTGCAAATAATGTACTCACGTACACCCTTGGTTTTAGTACTTGTAGGTTGTATGTAGCCAAGCTTGTAAAGCATAGGGTAGTGTTGAAAAGATTATAGGAAAAGATCAATTTGTAAGGTAGTCTTGAAAAGAACCCTTTGTAAGGTCCCACACAGGAAGAGATTCAGCTAGCCTCAAAGAGTGTCCGTCAGTCTGGAAGAGATTCGGCCGTTCTTGAAAATATCAATGGAAAACACCACCATGGAAGCCGCTAACACTGTTCATCTATGCTACTTGTATCAGATGCATAATCACTGAACGCAGAGAATGATTCATCTATGTATCATTTATATAAATTGGAGATAGCATAGGTGTGCAAGTGTGCTGCTCAGAGCTACAACTGGATACGCTCGCTGTATCGTCCTCATAGGTGCTATATCACTTGTATCCGACCTTTGTGTTAGGTCCTTATTGCGCCTAGCTTCACCAATATTATGACCCTTATGTTCTTCAAGCAATAAGGTTTGAATTTCACCTATAAAGCGCGATCTTTCAACACCACGTCGGACAAGTGTTTGGGTGCCAGAGGCGCGTGTCACCTATTGTTGCCCACTCAGTACTAACCCAGCCAGCAGACCACGGTATTCTGGGAATTTTTTCCAAAATGGCTGCCTCTCACTGGAGGTCCTAAGAGTCCATTTCGTACACAACCAACCTCGTACACATGTAGAATGGGTACGGAAAAATAAAAAAGTTTTCTCGGTTGGTGCAATTTCCCGCCGACCGAGAATACTCAGTTGGCGCAGTTAAGTGGTTAAATTTGGCAGTGATTTTGGGTGTATTACTTGGAGATTAGAGTTGCCGAGGTTTAATTCGGTGAGAGTTTTTAATTTATACAGAAGTGTGTGTATTAACGATGCCACCTGTTCATAATTTCCTTGTTCTAATTACAGGCGTGTTTTAACATGTTTAGTGTAGTATTTAAAGAAAGATATGGTAGTAAAGTTTTAGGAAGGCTCTGTCCCTCTGTCCTCTTTATTTGACTTTGGATCTTGGAAAATTGTTTGAAATAAATATTTTGGAAACTTGATTGGTTATTTCAGAGGGTTTTAAGCTTTTTGTTTGAAAAGTAATCATGTTTAATTAGGATGTGGGTTTTATTTTTCAGATGCAACTTGCATGGTGAGTGATGTAACCTGACGGTAAGCGTAGCCGCTGCGTTAGCCTCGGCTGCCTCGTCCCAAAGATGGCCACACTCTCTCGGCCTGGGAGCCTCCGCAATCCTGAGGTGGCCGATTTATTTGAACGAGAGGACCCTGAGAGACTATTTGATGACCTGCGTGAAATTGGCCATGGCAGTTTTGGAGCAGTATACTATGCACGTCATGTATCATCAAAGGAGGTAAGCATAATGTTTCATTTTTCATACAGTGTAACATTTCCCAATGATCAATAACACTTCTATGAGTTCCTGTTATAAATTTATTGATGTTACGTTTAAAAGATCAAAACAGTGATATGAGGATGGAAAATATCATGAAGCGATCTTTAAATTATAATAAGTATAAATTATACAAGAGGCCCATGACTTGTGTGGTATTACTTTGCAGTACCTTTATGTGAAATTGGATTTATATGGGAGAGCACTTTATCTCCTGGGCTGTGCCACTGATTATACCATGAAATATAATTTGATATTTGACATAAATATTTTATGTGCACTCAGGTAAGCATAAAATAAACAAATTCCAATTAGTTATTTTTCCTTCTAATATTGTCTTCTATTTCCTTCTAATATATTTTCCTTCTAATATTGTTTTCCTTCTAATATTGTTTTCCTTCTAATATTGTTTTCCTTCTAATATTATGGAGCCGCTGTCTCCTAGACAGCGGCTATGGAGAAATGGTCATACTGTACCCTGCCTATGCACAAAAAATATAACAATTAAAAAAAATTCATTATAGAAATACAGTGGTACCTCAGGTTACGAACGTCCCTGTTTACAAGTTTTTCGAGTTACGAGCTCAATTTGTTCGGAAAATTTGAATCGGGATATGAACTTTGCATCGGGAGACGAGTTTGTTGATACGCGTACGGCTGACCTAGCGCGTGGTGGCACGGCGATCGCACCTCAGTTTACCAGTGCCTCCCGCCTAGTGACTATACCGCCTGAATTCTTCACAAGAATTAACAGTTTATTATCGGATTTTTGGTCATTTGAGCATAAAAGTTGTTATTATATATCTCGCCATGGGGTCCCAAGAAAGCCAGTGGTAAGCTTCAAGGCAAGAAATCACATGTGAGAATGACCATAGAGGAAAAACAAGAGAACATTCGTAAGCATGAAAATGGTACTTGTGTTGTTGAACTAGCTAGGCAGTACAACAAATCTGCAGAGGAGGCAGTAGAGAATGTCCCTTCCTCATTAATTAAGAAAATGTGTGTAGTATGGAAAGGACTGCAAAGTTTTGCTGAAAAGAATCGCCCAGATAAAGCTGTTGTAGGCCATTGCATTGATCTTTTTAATGACAGTGAGATGCCTCACTACAGACAAGTGTTGCAAAGAAGGGAAAAACAATCTTCAATGGAACGTTTCCTTGTGAGGAAAGTGAGAAAATCAAACAGTGAGCCACAACCAGGACCTAGTGGTATGCAGGCAAAATGTGCCAGAGAGTACACTCCAGAGAAATCTTCACTGCCTGATGTCATAATGGAAGGGGACTCCCCTTCCAAACAGTAACATCTCTCCTCCTCCCCCCTCCTCACCATCTTCCATACTCCAACAGGAGTCATCAGCAAGGGTAAGTAATAACTTAGTTTTGTAGTGAAGATTTAGGTGAATTAGGTATAAAATTTACTTTGAAATTAAGTTTTTGGGGAGTCAGGAACAAATTAATTCATTTCCCATTATTTCTTGTGGAAAAATTCGCTTCAGGTTAGAAACCGTATCCAGGAACGGATTAAATTCTTAAACCGAGGTACCACTGTATTAATTTAAATGCAAAATGTAAGAAAAAAAAAAAAAAAGTGAATAATTATTGTTTCAATGGATGAAGGTACTCTGTTAGGCTGTCACTAGTCAATGCCCGGTGTTCGACTTTGCTGATGCTTCCTTTTTTTATCCTCGGATGTTTTACTATTATTTTATCACTTTTTCTGTGGAGAGCCCGTTCTGCTCCCCGGAGCTATACTGGGCTGTTGTGTATATATTATGTAATGGAGGCCAGCCTTTAACCTCACTTACTGTTTAAATGCTGGTCGTTATTAAGCCAATATATACATAAACCACAGTTCTGCTGTGTAACCTTCAGCACAATTCCTAGAGATCTAAACGTTTGACCATTTAGATATCACAAACTCAAGGACACTGTACCCTCTATGTTATACTGCAAAACTCTGAAATTCGCCGCCACCATCTGCTAACCCACTGAGCAATTCCCTCAATTAATGGTGAGCAGGGTACTGTCAATTAAGCATACCACGAAACTGTATCCCCAATTATCCGAAATGGAGGGTTAAGACTTATGTTAAGTGTGTTAATTAAAACAAAGTATAAAGGGATTATCTTAGTTAATTAAATAAATGCTTGTTGACTTGCAGAGGAAGCTAGTTCCAAACACGAGGCTTGCGCCCAACAGCAATGTAAAGTAAATGTTGGGGGAAAAATTCCACTAAACACCATAAATTCTATAAATGATTTATTAAATCAAGATTATGCATCAAAATAAAATGTAATAAAACCCTGACAAAACACTTCCTAACTGAGGCACTTGGTAATGATTACCACAATTAGTGTGGATTTCTACACTATACTAACTTAGACACAGATACCTTAAAATATCGCAGCCTGGCCTCGATGGTCTGTCGGCTCCAGGGAGAGGTGTTCCCAGTTCCCAGTTCTCAGAGGCTGACCCGAGGCTAGTTGCCAGATTAATCTTTGAAATTAATAACTAAAATCCAGTATTTGTCACTAAAGATGACTTCTAATTCCAAAACAATATGGGAATTCTCTAGATCCTCGAGCCAGGCTAATTACAGTAATCAGTAGCACTTGTATTACACTAATTTACATGATTTAACAAATAAGTTGGTAGGTATCTATTTTTGAGAGAAGACACATGTGTCTTACATGTATTCAAATCTTACTAATGTCAACCGTCTCTTTGATACCATCCAAGACTTATTCCTTATTCCCAATTGACGTTAGTTTTTAACATAAGAACTTAACTATGATTGATAAGTCCTCCTAATTCTGTAATACATTCATAATTCTCCTAGTTTGATGTTGTCACGGGAGGAGAGTGGCACCACCGTTTTCTACACTAATCCCTAGGGATGACCTAGGCTACCAGTCAGGTCCTCTCCAAACTCACTACCAACTTTCAATGTTACATCTATGGTCTTTCTACATTAACAGTACTACTGTTAGAATTAGACAGTCAATGGAAGGAGTTCTAGGTCTACCAGGGACCAGAGCCAGAACCTGGCCCCCCTCAAGAGACGCACGAGGAGCAATGGCCTAAAGACACCTCCGTGTAATTGGAAGCAGTCTTTGTCTGCCATCTACCAGGTCAGGCACCCAGAAAGATAGGAATTCCAAAACAAACTACTGCTGATCAAATAAATTGCAAACCGAAAGCCGAACTAGCAACAGAACTCCCCAATCAAAATCAAGGAAACAAGTATGACGTCACCACAAATGCCGCGCACCCGTCTGCGCAACCCCCCCCCCTCCCTGGGAGGGGGGAGGGGGGTGTATCCCAGACCTCCTCGCCGGCAACTCTCCTCAGTTCAGGGGCTGAGTATCAAAAACGCGAAAAACCGTCGACCAGAGGGAGGGAGGGAGGGAGGGATGGATGCAGGGGAGTCTCTGGGTCTCGCCCAGAAAATGGCGTTTCATTACATTCAACGTTGGTTTCATTCAACGCTGGAGAGCCCCTTCGGCTCCCCGGAGCTGTCTAACCAAAGATAAAGAAAAGAGGGACTTACCCGGGAGGCGGTCGTCACTCGCTCTTCAACTCAAAGTCGAGACAAATGGCTGCAACTTGCAACCCAAGGCTACACACGCCTGAGAAGGTCCAGGAACATTAACGAGATATCGTGCAGCCAGGAACCTGTTTGACCTCCAAAAGCCCCGTGCCGAATGTCAGCCTAGGACATATTCCCAAAAACAGCAGCCAAAGCCGCGAACTTATGAACGTCGTGGGCACAGGAATAGACCACAGGCTGGCTGGACCGAATAATCCTGCAGACGACCTGGGAGAACTGCGTCTTGGAACAGGGATGAATGGAAACCGGGTCCACCTAAAGCATGTCTCCTGACACGGAGGCCGTGGCGCGCAGATACCGGCGAACAGCCGCAACTGGACACAAAACATGATGCACCCCCAGCTGAACCAACCAAGTATCAACAACCCAAGGACCCCTTTGGAAAGCAGCAGACAGTATTTGGCACAAGATGACGGTCCTGAAACAACGAAGAGAGAAAGGACAAAACAACCCGATCAGAAATCGAAGACAACGTACGAAGAGACAAAAATTGCCGAAAGGACCGCCAGGAAATTTCACAGAAATTTTCCATCTAGACGAAACTCGCAGGTGGGACACCATCAACTAAGCCACCTGATCACCATACAAGTGGTGATACACCCACGTCAAAAAGACCAGACGCGAAGAGTGGTGAAGATTGAACCAACCATGTGACGGACCGAACCGATCTGCTGAAAGAGGCAGAGCCGCAGGAAGACCCTCGGGTTCGGACATCGAGCAAGAAGCGCCCGAAACCAAGGCTGGCCCGGCCACCAAGGAGCTAACAGGACTACTTTCCCTTGGTAAATCTCCAACTGAACCCGGATCTGGGACAACAACCGGACCGGAGGGAAGAGGTACTGGTAACTCCACCTTGACCAGTCCAGCCAAAAGGCATCGACCCCGATGGCCTCACAGTCTGGAAAGGGTGCCACATAAACTGGAAGACGCCTTGACCACGCCAATGCGAATAGGTCCACCTCTGGGCGCCCATAAGTCCGGCAAAGCCAACTGAACGAGACGGCATCGACCATCAATTCCATGGAAAGGGGAATGAACCGAGACAGGCCATCCGCCAGGACGTTTGACACCTCCTGAACCTGAACCGTCAGGAGAGCCAAACCCTGAGAACTTGGCTAACGAGTCACCCGAAGCGACCAGGCCCAAAGAACCAAAGACCGCATCAAACCCCCGCGGTTGAGGCAATGATCCACCGGGGAGCAGTCCTAATGGAGCCGGATCGTTGCTCCTTGAGCGACCCAAATCCTCTGAAGCGAATGCCACACCGCCGCAAATTCCCGCGCCATGCTGTGAGCTCGATGGAAGAACGGACCCCACCGACCCTGGCCGGCCTGGTGAGCACTTGTCACAAAACCACATCCGAGAGATGAGGCATCCGTGAACACATCGAGCAAGGGGCTCGGGGAGGCGCCACGGCACAGAACCCCGAAAAACCCACAGAGGAAGCTGGTGATGCAGCAGCCGACGCAAGGCTCCCGGGATCCGAACCCATCGATTGCGAGAGCAGCAGAAGGGACAACCCTGAAGAAACCAGAACATACGCTGAAACCGGATCCGACCCAATGGGTAGACTAACACGGTGAAGTTCAGGCACCCGCACAGCCGCTCAAACAACCGACGTGTGACGCGAGTGCCCTCCAAAAACAGCCGGAGGTGGGACCGCAGCTGTAACAGCGTCGCAGGAGGGAGAGACAAGGAAGCGGTTCGAGAGTCTCAGACCAGACCCAGCCAAGTCCGAACCTGAGAGGGAACCAAAAGGGACTTCTTCCAGTTCACCATGAACCCAAACCCGGCAAGCTAGGAAAGAACCATATCCCTGGCGAGCAGACGCGCGAACTGGTTGGGAGCCCACACCAGCCAATCGTCGCTGTTATTTGCAAATGTTTTCACAAATTTCATGGAGGTTTCTATAGGCCATTACTCCTCGTGCCTCTCTAAGTGGGGCTAGGATCTGGGTTCTGGTCCTCAGTAGGCTAGAACTCCAATCAAATTTACTGATGCCACGATCTAATACATACATATGTACATATCAGCCAGGTAAGCTCGGGGGGAGCTTACGGGACTCGCCCAGAAAATGGCATTTCATTACATTCAACGATGACTTTTTCATTTTTTTTAGTAATGTTGTTATTCAGTGTCCTATGAAAAATTTATACAATAAAATGTGTGGAACATCGAAATGCTGAAATATATACATGTCACTAAGATACGACTATATTATTTGTGTAGAACAATGCAACATTCTATTTTTGTGGTGTTACGCTGTATACACACTTTATATTTAACTATGTACTTTTTCATGCACAATTATGAACCACTAAGCCATTCTGATGGGTGTGGTAACCTTATAACATGTGGGCAAGAGTTCAGCCTGGCTCAGCATGTTTTGGATGAAATTGTATTTGCAAGCATTGAATATATAATATTTTCTCCGTAGTTCTAATGTTATTGCAGGTTTTTTTCAAGGTCAATGATACAATCGGCTGTCAGTAATAATATTTGTTTCACAGAACATGCAGGTCATAGGTATGCACAGATATATTTGTCACTAAGATTCATATTGTTTTCTTTGATAAAAAACAATAACTCATTTTAGTTTTGGTGTTATTATACTATACACACTTTATGTACATTTAAATGCATGATTATGAAATACTAAGCAGTTCTGGTGGGTGTGGGAAAGGAAATTTAAGATCAACATTGTACAACAGACACATCCATCAGACTGTGCCAGCAGACTATGCACATTGCTAATTCTAGGCACAATGTTGCTATTATTATCAGCATCGTGATAGCAGTGTGTAATTTGATAAATGTATATAATAAAATGTGTGGAACATCTCCATACTAAATATATGGTGCATTTAGGTAAAAATTTTAGTGACAAGATTATTATATTCTTGGAATAAACAATGCTTTTACTGTTATTGCACTGCATATACAAAACTATTTTTATATAACTATCTACATTTTTGTGCACCATAACGAATCACCCTAGCTGGCCTGATGGGGCCCCACACACACAATCACAGCGTCAACACGTTAAGTCAGCTGGCAACGTTGACACCACCTGACTCTCCATGATGCCTCTAGTATAATACATCCATCGCTAACTCTAGGCAGAATGTTCATATTATCAGCAGCCTGGTTACTAAATCCTTAATATAAATAATTTTTGCACAAGTTTATTTTCTAAAGGAGCATGAGGTAGTTTCATGATGTGTAGGTGCACCAAATAATGGCAGAGTGCTGTGGCTAATCTGCATCAGCTGTGAACATCATAAACAGCATTGTGTTCACTGATATCTAAACATTGTACATAGTCTATTACATAATCTATTGCAGTCAGAATCTTCTATGATACTATCACAAAATAAAAGCAGTTATTTGGTGTGTTTTATCATTTTTAAGCATTGCTGTAAAAACAAGCTGAACAGCAGTGCTATTAGCTCATGCTGCATGCACCACCATTGGTTGCTCACTTAGTACTTAGGCCTTCGCACCCAGGAATGGTGTCCGTAATATTTTTTCAAAATGGCGTCTGTTTACTGGAGGCCTGGGAAAGCTGACGTGAGCCCTGTGTACCAATGGGAGATTTATAATCTTATGATGTACCTTAGATGAGGGACTCAGGACTTTTCTCAAGATGGCACCTGTTTACAGGAGTCCAGAGGAACAAGATGTGAGCCCCATGTACCCACAGGAGTTTTGATGTGTACCCATGGGAGTTTTAAAATCTAACGATGTAGTCAACTACTTCATATGACGGGATGGTCAGTTTTTTTTTTTAGCTACCCCATTATATGGGATGCACATTCAAAGGGTCAACCACTGTACTGCACACACTGTGATATAATGGGGAAAGTGGGTGTGCACACTAGCAAATCTTATTTGTTATTATGTACCTGTAGCATACCTGGAAAGGGTTTCAGGAGTTCTTCCATCCCTGACCCCTGTCTGAGGCCAGGGTTGACTTGTGATAAATTGGTCCAACAGGTCCTAGGTCCTATCCCCGAGTCCACTAGGTCCTGTCCCCAAGTCTCCACCGGGCCCTGTCCCTGAATCTCCACCGGGCCCCGTCCCCGAGTCTCCACCGGGCCCCGTCACCGAGTCTCCACCGGGCCCCGTCCCCGAGTCTCCACCGGGCCCCGTCCCCGAGTCTCCACCGGGCCCCGTCCCCGAGTCTCCACCGGGCCCCGTCCCCGAGTCTCCACCGGGCCCCGTCCCCGAGTCTCCACCGGGCCCCGTCCCCGAGTCTCCACCGGGCCCCGTCCCCGAGTCTCCACCGGGCCCCGTCCCCGAGTCTCCACCGGGCCCCGTCCCCGAGTCTCCACCGGGCCCCGTCCCCGAGTCTCCACCGGGCCCCGTCCCCGAGTCTCCACCGGGCCCCGTCCCCGAGTCTCCACCGGGCCTCGTCCCCGAGTCTCCACCGGGCCCCGTCCCCGAGTCTCCACCGGGCCCTGTCCCCGAGTCTCCACTAGGCTGTCCTCGAGTTTCTATGAGGCCCAGACCCTTCTTGCTCCTAAATCCTGATTTTTATTTTGTAATATGAAACTTTTCATCATAGCTTGCATAGCTACTTTGGTCTTTTTTCTGCAAATCTTTCTCGTGTACTTCAGATATATTTAAGCAACAAAAACTGAACAGATCAAAAGGTAATGATTGGAGTGGTATTTATTTTTCATTATTACATTTTATACCATAATACAATTGTGTGTAGTGAAATTGTATGTTTTTTATGTTGTGAATTTTGCACATGATGCTTATTGAGCAAGGCTTATTTGTCTTTTATAGGTTGTGGCAATCAAGAAAATGTCATACAATGGTAAACAAAGTGCAGAAAAATGGCAAGATATTCTTAAGGAAATTAGATTCCTTCGCAGTCTTCGTCACCCCAATACCGTCACTTATAAAGGTTGCTACCTAAAGGAGTCAACAGTTTGGGTAAGTAAGTTAATATTGCAAAACAAATTGGTCTAATTTTTATTCTGTTTTTTGTTAGTTTTTTTTGGTAATAATGGGGTAAACCATATATGTATTGTTTAGGGTTTTTATCTTTTATACAGTACTGTACAACATGGTTCCATATACAGTTGTATATAATTTCAATCAACCTTGTTTATAGCCTCCTTCAGCAGCTATTGTTATACCTGGTGTATCTTTACTGCCTTTTTTTACATGTTCTACAATTATTTTTTTTTTTTTTTTTTTTTTTTTTTTTAACCTCTTCAGTGATTACTGTACTGTAATGTTGCTTCTTGGCCATCTTGTTATCTCCTATACTCTGTCTCGACATTTTATATTTTATTCCAGATCTATAAAATGAAATTGTTTTATTTTATAGATCTGGAATCTCTTGTTGATTCCTTCAAACACTGCTAACATTTTCCATTAAACCATCCCATTCCTCTTTACATACTCACATGGTACAGTACTAACTATAGTTTTCCCTTATGTGACTGCATTAGTCCCATTGCTATTATTGCTATGTTTTTCAAACTGCTTTTCTGGGATGGATCTCAGTGGGTCACTGTTGCTACATCCTGGAGAGCTCCACCCAATTCAAATTGCATCAGACTCTAGGGAGTTTTGTAAAACCCACCCAAAACCAAAATCTGATCAAGAACAAGGACACTGAGGAACAACGCACAGAGGATTTAAGATCACACACCAAAGGAAAAGGCCACCAAGAAGGTAGGGCAAGCCGAAACAGACAACAGCAAGGTAAAGTGAAAAATAAAACCCCAGGAAAACAAAAATAGGAAAATAAATAAATAAAAATGATATAGGGTAAAAAGAAAAGAAAATGGGCAACCCAGCAGGGAACTTGTTCATTTTCTAGTTGTAACCAACCACCACCAGGTGGTTGCCCACAGCTGCAGGCCACATAACCAGGTCAGTCTTAATCCTGGTGCTCCTTTGTTCACATCTCAGCATTTCAAGTCCCAATTTTCAGATGAGTGGAACCACAATCCTTGGGATATTGTCCAGCGTGGGCCATTTTGCTTGTGTATTGTTCCATTTTTTTGTATATCGCATTACATGTGTATTTTCTGTGGGGAGCCCCTTTGGCTCCCTAGAGTTATCAGGCTAATAAACGAATCATTAGACTGGGGGCATTAGTCTATGGAGATCAGCTAACCGGGGACCATGAGTCAAAATCTGGTCCCCTCAGATAAGCGCAATGGCGCTGGAAAAACTCCCCTGTGGTTTGGGTTTTCCTTATATGCCATCGACCGGGGTTAGGCATCCAGAAAGTTAGGCATAACAAAACACACACCACATGGTAAGAAAATTGCAAACAAAAGCCGAACAGAGAGGCAGAACTCCCTCCAATCCCAAGGAAACAAGCAAACATCACACTCCATCGCCGTATCGCTCGTCCACGAACCCCCCACGACGACGACCCAGCCACTCCAGTTTGTTAGCTAATACGAACCAGGGTGTACGTCTTCTTTGGCCTCACTTTCCAAGCAAGGTTTGCCTTCATGGTGTCCTCTGCAGTGTCGTGGTCAGGTTATCTTGAGATGATTTCGGGGCTTTAGTGTTCCCGTGGCCCGGTCCTCGACCAGGCCTCCACCCCTAGGAAGCAGCCCGTGATAGCTGACACCTAGGTACCTATTTTACTGCTAGGTAACAGGGGCATAGGGTGAAAGAAACTGCCCATTGTTTCTCGCTGGCACCCAGGATCGAACCCGGGACCACAGGATCACACGTCCAGCGTGCTGTCCGCTCGGCCGACCGGCTCCCACGGTGTCCTCAAGAGTACCGGTACTCTTGAGGACACCTGGCCACAACACTGCAGAGGACACCTCCGAGAGCCCGAACGTCCAGCAGAGTCAAAGAAGAGAGTCAGCATCGACCGTCCATTCCGTGGACAGAAGAAGAATGAAACGGGACAGGGCCGTCCACCAGGACATTGGAAACCCCCTGGATATAAACTGCCAGGAGAGCCAAACCCCCAAGAACTCAGCAGACCCAACAGTCACTCTTGGGTGCCTTCTTGAGGTTATCTTGAGATGATTTCGGGGCTTTAGTGTCCCCGCGGCCCGGTCCTCGACCAGGCCTCCACCCCCAGGAAGCAGCCCGTGACAGCTGACTAACTCCCAGGTACCTATTTACTGCTAGGTAACAGGGGCATTCAGGGTGAAAGAAACTTTGCCCATTTGTTTCTGCCTCGTGCGGGAATCGAACCCGCGCCACAGAATTACGAGTCCTGCGCGCTATCCACCAGGCTACGAGGCCCCCTGCCTGGTCACTTGAAGCGACCAGCCCCAAAGAGCCAATGACTGCATCAAACCCCCTCGGTTCAGGCAATGAACCACAGCGGAGTAGTCCAAATGGAGCTGAATCGTCGCTCCATGTGCGACACGAACCCTCTGAAGCAAAAACACAGAGCTGCAAACTCCCGCACTGTGCTGTAAACCCGACGGAAGGACGAACCCCAGCCCCCTAGCCGGACTGGTGAACACTGACCACAAAACCCCAGCCGAGAGAAGATGCATTCATGAACATATCGAGCAAGGGCTCGGGTAGATGCCAATCGGGTAGATTCAGGTACTGAACCCCGAAAAACCTGAAGAGAAGGAAGCCGCTGACACAAGGCCCCGGGGTCCGAACCCAGCGATCGTGAGAGCGGTGGAAGGGACATCCCCGAAGGAACTAGAACAACTGCCAAACCCAGATTCGACCTGATTGGAAGACCAGCACGGCTTCAGACTCCTACACAGCTGCTCGAACAACCGACGAGTGACCTGGGTCCCCCCCCCCCCCAGCTGAAGGCGGGATTCCAGCCACAGCAATGCCACTGGAGGGAGTCCTATACAAGAACCAGCCAAGTCCGAACCTGAGAGGAAACCAAATGGGACTTCCTCCAGTTCACCAAGAACCCAAACCCGGTAAGCTGGGAAAGAACCAAATACCTGGCGAGCAGACACGCGGACTGACTGGAAGCCCAAACCAGCCAGTCGTCGCATTAAGCCAGAACCTGAACCCCTAACAAACGGGTCACCACCACCTGGGTAAGGAATGTAAAAACGCGAGGAGCCAGCATCAAACTGAATGGAAGGCAACAAAAGCGGTAAGCTTGCCACCCCACGACAAAACCAAGCAAGTCCCTGAACACTGGATGAATCAGGACGTGCCAATATGTGTCCCGGAGGTCCAGGAACACCATCCAAATGCCCGGCTCCAATAGCAGCCGGACCTGGGCACTATCGCGTGCCCGGCACGCGATAGTGTTAAGAGGTTCACTGAAAACAGAATCGAATTGTAACCTCAGTATTTTACTCATATCTTTGCTGTCATCTGTGAAGGTTCCATCACTCTTGTGCAAGGGTTCAATGCAGGATGTAGTTTTTGTTCTTGATTTTGCATAGGAGAGAGTGTATTTCGGATTCCTCTCTCATTTTGCTCATGGCCTTTTGTGCTCTGTTTCTCTCTTGTGTTTCATATGATTTTTGCAACTGTAGTTCAATCTTTTCTATTTCTCTACATAGCGATAGCTTATTTCTCTACATATTTCTGTACATAGTTGTTCTTGGGATAGAGTTGTATGTTTAAGATATTCTTCAGTTTTTCTTTGCCAATAGAGGGGAATACTGTTCTCGGTCCAATTTGCATCTTTTTCTTTCTCTTTAGTGGTATGTGACTTGCGCATATTTCTAGTGGTACTGCACCTATTTTCTCAAGGCACTGGTTTAAGTTTGCATTATCTAGCTGTCTTCCCAGCTTATTTCTGTAAAGGCTAAGTTTATTTGTTCCCAGTTAATCCATATGTTATAGAAATTGAATTTATTGAATTCTCCTCTTGGATTTGAGACTGGCTGCGTAGATCTATTGCCCATTCATGTCTGGTGCAGAGTGCATGGGAAAATGAATTAATTCCATTTCTTCTTATTCTTAACACCATCGCGTGCCGTTCGTGCGCGCCACAGAAATGACGTCATGCGCCGTTCAGTGCGGGCGAGCGTGCAGCGACACCGAAAAGTGTATACTCGTTTCAGTTTTCTCACCTTAATTCTTGTGCTATGTCGTTTGTTTTGATAGCATGGTGTTCGCAGTAGAATTCCCTACAGGGGTATATGCACATAAGGTCCATAAGCCTACCGTGACTCCCCACACCAAAGCCTAAAGTCGGCAAAGTTATCCGTGAGCGCGCAAAATCAGTAAAATGTGTATACGCATTTCAGTTTTCTCAACTTATTTCTCGTGCTACGTCATTCGTTTTGGTATCATTGTGTTCGCAATTGAATTCTCTACAGGGGTATATGCATATAAGGTCTAAAGCCCAGTGTGACTCCCCACAGCAAAGCCTAAAGTTAGCCAAGTTACCTGTGAACAAGCACCAATTGGCACACCTGCAGACTCATGTATACTGTATATTTGTTCAGTTAATAACAAAATTTTTTATGTTACGTGTTTCATTTTAGTATCAAATTGTTTGCAAAATAAAGGTGTGTATTTTAAAACTAGTCCCATAATAATAGAGCAATAAATGGAATTTTAACATATTTTAACTTTTGGACGCTCATCACCACAAAATTATTTATATCTTTCCAGTGTTCTGACATCAATTTTCGTGTTTCGTCTTTCATTTTGGTATCGCTATTTTGAAACCACTCCCAGATTGATCGGATAAAATATAAATTTTTAACAAATATTTTAATGAGTGACTACGGACCTCGTCACCCGAGATAACTCGATAGAAAAATGAGTGATGATGGGTGGAGGCATCTGAGTGCGATAGTGTTAATGATAAATATAAAACATAATTCCTTTAGTAATAAATATATATACTGTACTGGAACATAACCATATACAGGGGTACCTCAGTTTTCGTACTTAATCTGTTCCCAAAGACATTATGAAAACTGAAAAATACGAAAACCGAAACGAATTTTCTCATAAGAAATAATGTAAATTGAATTAATCCGTCTCACCCTCCTCAAATATGTTAACTAAAAATACATTTTATACAGAATAATACTCTTAGGTACCTTATGCAGGCGATGAGTCACAATAACGTGGCTGAAGTATGTTGACCAGACCACACACTAGAAGTTGAAGGGACGACGACGTTTCGGTCCGTCCTGGACCATTCTCAAGTCGATTGTCGAGAATGGTCGAGAATGACAATCGACTTGAGAATGGTCCAGGACGGACCGAAACGTCGTCGTCCCTTCAACTTCTAGTGTGTGGTCTGGTCAACACCTTCCCTTTATTAAGGACTCTTGCTGGCATATGGAAGACAGTGAGGAAGGGTGGGGAGGAGGAGAGGTGTTAGTGTTTGGAAGGGGAGTCCCCTTCCATTATAACAACAGTGATGTCATTTATGGGGGTACTCTCTCTTACGTTTTGCAGGCATACTACTAGGACCTGGTTGTGGCTCACTGGTTGCTTGTCTTACTAAGAATCTGTCTGTAGACACTTATTTTTCCCTATGTTTTAACACTTTGTCCGTAGCGAGACATCATGGTCTCACTATGATCTCTTGTTTTCCTCTATCGTCATTCTCACAACTATTTTCTTAGATTGAACATTACTACTGACGTTCTTGGAACCCATGGCATGATATATAATAAGAACTTTTATGTTCAGAAACCAAAAAAGCACAAAAACAATGAAATTCTTCACAAAGAATTCAAATGCAATCATATCTATGTAGGAGACACTGGTAAACTGAAGTGCCACGCTCGCGGTGGACTCGTACGTGTATGAATAAACTCCGAAAACCGAGGCAAACAATGAGTACCGAATCAATTTTTTTTGAGAAATAAAATGCGAGTACCGAAAAATAAGAGAACGGGCATACGAGAACCGAGGTCCCACTGTATTCTTTTCGGGAAACATAATACGATATATATAATTTACAACATTTTTAAACCTAAATCATTTCTAAACCAGTAACATGGTTGGCTGCCCTGGCAAGGAGTCACAAACACGCTGGCCAGCTCGGACATCAGAAGCACACGCACAAGGCAATTTGCCACTTCAAGTAGTGGGTAATAATTTTAAGAAAATTTGTCTGTTAATGTTGCCAGTTTCCATCTTCTACTACTTGATGATCTTCAGCTAGATAGTGGCCTATTAACCATTTTAAATAAACTGTTGAATTATAAATGGAAGATTTTGGGTCTGTGGATGGAAAATTTAATGTGTTTTTTTTTTTCAGCTGGTAATGGAATATTGCTTGGGCTCAGCTTCGGACATCATTGAAGTTCATAGACAACCTCTACGAGAAGAAGAGATCAGTTCCATTTGTGAAGGTTGCCTCCAAGGTCTCTCGTATTTACACTCTTTAGGAAAAATTCATCGTGATGTTAAGGCTGGCAACATTCTTCTCACTGAAAATGGCACAGTCAAGCTGGGTAAGTTATTTTGAAGGGTTGATGTAAGGGACGTGGTAATCTCATCCCTTACTGTAACATAATGAGCCCCAGCCCCACTTTCTCAGTTGTAAATGGGTGGGGTAGATTGAGTTGGAGTTACATCTTTGTGAATTACCCTCATACAGGTCAGAATGGATTTTGTGGTTTGGAATATACCTGGGCACCACAAACAAAAACTGGCTTATATGGTTGAGTGAAATGTAAGAGCTAAAGTAGCTGGAAGTAGTGAAAATTTTGTATTTGGGAAAGTGTAAGGTACAGTGTTACCTTGGTTTTCAAATTTAATCCGTTCCCAGAGATGGGTTGTAAGCTGAAAATTCGCAATCCAAAACGAATTTTCCCATAAGAAATAACGTGAATTGAATTAATCCGTTCCACACTTCCTCCTTTCTTCTAAATACATTTCATACATACAAATATTTTGTACTGTAGTATGTAATAGTTATAGCTTACCTTTATTGATGATCTGTTGGCATATGGAAGGCAATGAGGGGAGGTGTTAGTTTTTGGAAGGGGAGTCCCCTTCCATTATAACATCAGGCAGTGATGACTTCTCTGGGGTACTCTCTCTCCCCCTATGTTTTGCCTACGTACCACTAAGACCTGGTTGTGGCTCCCTGCTTGGTTTTCCTCACTAAGAACCTTTTCATAGAGACTTGTTTTTCCCTGTTTTAACATTTCTGTAGTGAGTCACCAGTGTCATTAAAAAGGTTAAGGCAACGACCTACTGTAGCTTGATTTGGGCAAGTCGTTTCAACAAAACTTTGCATTTCTTCCCATACTGCACATCACTTCATAATTGTTTAGGAACCCATGGCATGGTATATAATTACTTTTATGTTAGAAAGCAAAAACGCTGAAAAACAATTAAATTCTTTACAAAGAATTCAAGCGTGATTGTCACTAAGCAGGCGGTCTGAAGCAGAGTCGCCCTTGTATAATGCCCAAAATGCCCGCTTCGTCAACCTGAAGCGGGGTCGCCTATGCCACCAGGAACCATGCGCTCCGTCGACCCTTATTAGTATCAACAAAGTCGCAAGTCGAGTAGTTTTTTCCAACAAAATTGGGGTCGTAACTCAAAAAATTCGTAAGTAGGGCCATTCGTAAGTCGAGGTTCTACTGTACTGTACATAATAGTATACATGTACTTAATATAGAATGTTATGATCTCAAGTCAAAGTTCACTTAAAATTAATTTGCCCATTTCTGCAATGATCCCCTCAGTGGCTGCCCTCAACTTGTGCACTCATACCCTGGGGCCATTACTCTCTTGCATGATACCTCGGATTTCTATGGCCTGGACAAACGACCAACAGTTCCCTCCCCCCACTCACTGAGGCAGGGTGGGGGGATTGTCAGAGGGTGTTACAGACAACATACACTGAGGGGAAAAATGTCAGTAAGGCTGGAAGAGGGTAAACAAATCTCTAAACACTTAAAGAAGTATTTGATAGCTGAAAATAACAAAACAATATAGGGGTACCTCGGTTTAAGAGTTTAATCCGTTCCTGCAGACAGCTCGTAATCCGAAAACTCGTAAACCGAAGCTAATTTCCCCATAAGAAATAATGGGAAATTATTTAATCCGTTCTTGACTACCCAAAATCCTCACTTCAAACTAAATTTTTATACCTAATTCATCTAAATCTACACTACCAAAGTATGTTCAAGTTATTACTTACCCTTGCTGATGACTGGTGTTGGCATATTGAAGATAATGAGGAGGGGGGAGGAGGAGAGATGTTATTGTTTGGAAGGGAATTCCCCTTCCATTATAACATCAGGCAGTGAGGACCTCTCTGGAGTGCATTCTCTGGCACGTTTTGCCTGCATACCACTAGGTCCTGGTTGTGGCTCACTGTTCGATTTTCTCACAACAAAGCGGTCCATTGATGATTGTTTTTCCCTTCTTCGCATCATTTGTCTGTAGTGAGGCATCACATTGTCATAGAAAAGATTAATGCAACGGCCTAGTACAGCTTTCTCTGGGTGAGTCGTTTCAATAAAAGTTTGCATTTCTTCCCACATCTGACACCACTTCTTAATGGTTGTGGAAGGGACATTCGCTGCTGCCTTTTCCTCCTCCACTGGAGAAGCATCCTCAGCTGGGTCGTCTTACTGTTCCTTTTGAAGGGCTTGGAGTTCTTCTGTGGTCAGTTCTTCGTTGTGTTCTTCCACCAACTCCTCCACATCATCACCATCCAATTCCAAGCCCATTTGCTGGCCCAGAGTAACAATTTCCTCAACAATAGGCGCATCGTTTACAGGCTCAAACCCCTCAAAGTCTAGTTCTGTCACACATTCAGGCCACAATTTTCTCCAGCCAGAGATCAGGATTCGTTGAGTCACTTCTTGCCAGGCTTTGTCAATGAGTTTTAAAGCACTACAAATGTTAAAATGGTTTTTCCAGAACTCTTTGAGGGTGAGCCTTGTGAGCTTCAGTCACCTCAAAACATTTCTGGAAAAGTGCCCTTTCATAAAGTTTCTTAAAATTCGCTATGATTTTCTGGTCCATAGGCTGAATTAGAGGAGTGGTGTTATGAGGAAGGATCTTTACTGTGAGAAAATTACTGTATCTGTGCAACAATTCATTTTCCAAGCCTGGAGGATGAGCAGGAGCATTGTCGAGGATAAGCAGGGCTTTGAGTGGTAAATGTTTCTCCTGGAGATATTTTTCTATGGCAAGGCGCATAGTCACCCATGCCTTATTATTAGCCCTCCACATCACACACATTTGATTTTTCTGCACTTTATACTGTTTGAAAACCCTTGAATTTTCAGAATGATACACAATCAAGGCGTTTAATTTTCAAATCGCCACTCGCACTTGAACACAACACAAGCGTAAATCTATCTTTCATAGGCTTGTGTTCGGGCAATGATTTTTCTCCTTGGTAATGTATGTCCTCTTAGGCAATCTTTTTCAGAACAGTCCTGTCTCTTCACAGTTAAACACTTGTTGTGGTAGATATCCCTCAGCCTCTGCAAACTCTTTTAAATCTTCAATAAATCTTTCAGCCGCTAGTTTGTCTGAGCTGGCAGCCTCTCCATGCCTCACAACACTATGAATACCACTTTTGTTTCTAAATTTTTCAAACCATCCCCGACTTGCCTTAAAGTCTATCGTATCTGTACTCGTTCCAGGGGTTTTCTCTACAAGATCTTCGTGCAATACCCTGGCTTTCTCACAAATGATGGCCTCTGAAACACTATCACCCTTTAACTCCTTGTCGTGTGTCCAAATTAATAACAACTTTTCCACTTCAAGTATTTGTGGTCTTTGTTTCGTGATTGTTCTTACGCCTTTTGCCACTTTAGCATTCATAATGTCCTTTTTCTTGGCAAGTATAGTGCATATCGTTGACATGGCTTTGTTGTACTGCCTACAAAGTTCAACATGTGTACCATTTTCATGCTTCCGAATGATCTCTTGTTTTTCCTCTGGTCATTCTCACGTGTGATTTCTTGCCTTGAACCTTACTACTGGCTTTCTTGGGACCCATGGCGAGATATATAATAACAACTTTTATGCTCAAATAGCCAAAAATCCCCCCAAAACTATAAATCCTTGCGTAGAATTCAGGCGGGATAGTCACTGGGCCCAAGGCACTGGTAAACTGAGGCACGATCGCCATGTCTCCACTCACTAGGTTGGTGGTATACGTATCAACAAACTCGTATCGTGAGGTAAAGTTCGTAACCCGATTCAAATTTTCCGAACAAATCGGGTGTTTGTAACCCAAAAAGTTCATAAACGGGTATTCGTAAACCGAGGTACCACTGTACTTTAAAATGTAAAGTGCTCGTAGGCCATTGCTCCCTGCACCCCTCTAAGGGGACCAGGGCCTAATTTGCTGGTCAACGTTGCCGTATATGATTACAGTATCAATTTATTGATATTTATTGTTAAGTTAATGCTGCTTATTAATACCAAATGAATAAATTTCTCACAACCCCTTTAAAGGGGTATAGAAGGAGCCAACAATTTCTCCCCCCCCCCCCACCTGAGTCGATACATGGATTATTTGTAAACAGACATGTGAGTGGCATGATTAACAAGGTAACCCATATGCATCCTGTCAAAGGTGTGACCAGAAATCAAGCTGTGTTATAAAAGCAAGCACAAGTTTCATGTTCAGTTAGGAGACAATTAGAGTAAATGTTATTCTACTGAAACATACTATTTTCAATTGTGAATGTATTAAACAAAATGTAATTTTTTTATTTAACTTTATAAAAACCCAGCATTGAATAGCATTGACCCACTTGGTAGTCCCAGTGGTTCTCTGTAGCTATCTTGCTGGGATTGCTCTGTTTTGCTTGTCACATTAGTTACATAAGTTTGTCTGGGCTACCAAGGACCAGTGCCAGAACCTGACCCTCCTCTTCCATGAGGTGCAGAGAGGGGGAGATAATTATCAGGGTAAAGTGCCAAGTCATTATGACTAGCACTTGGAAGGGGATCAGGATAAGGATTTGGGATGGGATGGGGGGAAGGAATGGTGCCCAACCACTTGGACAGTCGGGGATTGAATGCCGACTTGCATGAAGCGAGACTGTCGCTCTACTGTCCAGCCCAAGTGGTTGCAGTAAATAACCATTCCGCCAATTCATCGGGAAAGTATCCAGAAAATTAGCGAAGCTTTGTAGGGTTTGTCTGCTGGGTTCACAAGACTTAAAGCCATGAAATTGCCAAACAACTCCCCGAACAATTAAAAATAAACAAAAGGAAACAAAAAACTAAAACTCATTTGTACTGAATGCCACCACTAGGCGGCCTAGAGCTTGGTTCAACATCATTTATTAATTCGGCCCTTTAGCAGATAAAACACCCAAGTTCGTCAGTTCACAGACAGGAAGCCACCAGGGCTTTACCAGAAAGGGACATTTCTTTACAATCAATGCTGGCTTTCTTGAAGCCACCCCCTCCCCTTCCGGCCCGTTGGCGTCGTGAGGGGGCTTGGTGGACGGCTGCCGGA